TTCATTAAAAACGACAGACAAGGTACTATGGTTAAGCTTTTTATTTAATTTTTCTTGTGTTCGAACAAGAGCTTTCTTTTCTGGACAAAGAGTGTGTAAAAACTGTCCAAATGTTTTATACTTCCGAGCACTTTCGGCTATACTTTTGCCATTATCAAGGATGATTTGATTTTTTAGCTTAATTGAGTGAGTGCATTATGTGTATGTCTTAGTGTGTTGCAGGGATGTTTTAAATTCCAAATATGGTTCGCACATTGTGGCCTTGTTCATAGTTAATATTGTTAAGAGTTGGCTTTTTCTTTTTTATTATTAAAGCTTCCATTATTTTTAATCTTTTTTTACAAGTGGATGAAGTTATTATATTTGTGTTTTCTACTAGTATGTTTCTAATGCAATGTGGTAAATTTTTGTGTGTTTAAATGGATTCTAATGGAGCTGTGATCAGATAGGTGTAACGTGAGGCGTCTGGATAAGCATGTAGTTGTGTAACCAATGTAATTATTTATGAGTCCAGTTTGTTCAGGAACGCAGCCTTGATAATGGCTAAAGGTATAGCCGAAAGCGCTCGGAACTATAAAACACTTGGACAGTTTTTACACACCCTTTGTCCAGAAAAGAAAGCTCTTGTCTGAACACAAGAAAAATTAAATAAAAAGCTTAACTGTAGTACCTTATCTGTCATTTTTAATGAAACATGCATGCATATATATATATATATATATATATATCGGAAAATTATATAAAGATTTGTCCTTTTTCTTTTTCAGTGCACCTCTTTATGGTAACTATAAAATGTTTTATATTTGGGGTTTTTTTTTGTTTTTTTTTTTCAGAAAGGTTCATCCTTTACAAGGCCCTGGAGGGGTGCCACTTGAGGTAGACGGTTCTGTTAGGTCATTTGTGTGTATAGGAGTGGAAGATAACAGTTAATCCTAGCCATGAACAGGCTAAGATTGTAGTGATCGGGGAAACAACCTCTTGGTAGTCGGCTCCACAGAGCAGTGGTTCGCAGGAAGAAGCTGTTCAAGTGGAACTTACTTCTCACTGATGAAATACAAAGGGGATGTGGGTGATTTGCTACTGTGTATTTGGCATGAGATGTTCTTGCCATGAAGTTTAAATTTGGTGGAACCAAGGATTGTAGTTCATCTGAACACTTACCGTGGAACTTGCAGTAAGGCAGCAAGAATCTTACCACATCCCACCTGTGATTAAAATATGTAAAATCCTGTGATATCATTGGAAAGTATCTATAACTGAATAAGCAAAACATCCAACCTCATATCACGTTTTCTTTCCATTAAATCTATTTAATATTCAATGCCTGTACACAATCCCAGACATTTATTAAAAGCCACTATCCTTCTTTAGGTGTGCAGGCAGTGTAATTGTTATCAGCATCTAGTGTAGACTCAATGAGCTGTGATTTTTAGAAAGGCGTGAATTCATCTCTTCTCCCTCACTGCCAGCAATAGGTAAAATAGCAGGACAAATATGAACTTTCTAGCTCTTGTTTGACAACCAATCTAAGAGAAGGTAAAAAAAACATGGAGAGGTCAGTAGGAAATCACTCCACTATCTTTCCCAAGGATGTATGGGTGCCATTATGGTTATTGGCAGGGAAAATAGAATCATTGGTTCAAGTTCAAATTTTTGGTTAGTCTATTGCATTCACTTTTTAACTAACACCATTGGAAAATGCATGAATCTGTCTCTTCTGTCCTCCAGCTATGGGTAAATAGCAACATAGACTGGATTATCTAACCTAGAGTAGCAGTCAGTCTAAGAGAAGGAAAACTCTCAATTCCAAACTGGAGAATGCAATTTAAAAGCCACTCTACTGCATTTTCCAAAAAGGCATAGATAATAAAGAAAAGGAAAATGTGGAGAGCCATGAACATCTATGTCCTGCAAAGAGAATGAAAACTCTGAATTTAATACCATAGAAAAGGCAATTGGAAACCAATTTATCATCTTTCCCAGGAAGATGTGGCAATTAACAGATAATAAAGAAAAGGAAGATGTGGGGAGCAGTGATCATCTATAGGTTGAAAAGAGTATGGCACTTTTTCAAAATATCATTCCTGAATAGTTGTTTACTTTATTAGCAGGTTGGAACAAAATAAATGGCTATTTGGAAGATTTCGTTTTTAAAATGACATAACACAGCATTCGAGAAAATTTCATCAATCAAAATAAGCAGAATTTGAATCAATACAATGTTGCCAAGTTGATCGCAAGGGTCAACAAACTGCTGGAAGATGTTTTTAACTTGGTCTGCATTGTACCAACACTTACATCTCAGACCTGGGAAAAAATGGTAATCAGCAGCAGATTTCTGCATGGATAGAATAGATGAGGTTGCACATCGTCTCACAAAATACACTATTGTCTCGTATTTTAATGTTGGAGGACATGTCCTACATTAACTGATGTGGGGCCCATTTTTTGACACATTTTGAGAATCAATGATTGTTTTTAAAAATTAATGTAAATTTTGCTCTTTTTTTTTTTTAAAAGATATACTTAATAAACACAAATTGCTTGAATATATATAAAACTGACCAAAAAGCCAATGAAAATAAATAAAAAATATACCTTTTTGTTTTGTTAGACTTCACCAATTATTTGAGTTTGAAAAATGAATATAAGAAAAGTAAAAATAAAATTTTAATTTCATTTAATTGGGAAAATTTGAATACTGGGAAATTAGACTGAATATTAGTTGGTCAAATTTTTAAGCCCATACATAAAAGAAGTCGTAAACAGAAGAAGAAATGCCCAACAAGACATCTCATGGCTGTCATTGTGAATAACTTCAAAAAATCACTTTGACATGATTGGTATAAGCATCTGCAGAAAGTTGGCTGGAATGTTATCCCAAGTGGTGAGGATGGCTTCACAAAGATAATGCACTGTTTAGAATTGATATCCATTCTTATAGACTTCCTTTGTCGTACACCCCCAATTTTAGTGGGGTTTGGGTCAGGCATGTTGGATGGTCCAAAAGAATCGTGTTATTCACCATGAAAAAATCTTTTGTCTTGTGAGCATTATGGATTGCAGCATTGTCCTGTTGAAAGATCCAGTCATTTCCACACAAGTGAGGGCTTTCAGTCAATAAGGATGCTCTCTCCAGCATACCAATGTGACCAGCTACAGTTTGATGCCCCTGTATAACCCCAAGCTCCATTGTTCCTTCGAAGGAGATAGCAGTTATCGTGCTAGTAATGTTGGAAGCCATCTGAACCATCCATGTTAATTTTTTTCTTATCAGAGACGAAAACCTTTTTCATGTCCCATGTTTAGCACTTCTCAGAAAAGTTTAACCAAGCTGTTTTGTGGTGGAGAAGGAGATATGAACTTTGAAGACATTTGTAGATTTTAAAGCCTTTCCCTCTGAGATGATGTCTTATTGTTCTTGTTGCAAAGTAGTTTTCATAGTGGAGGCTTGTATTTTACTGAGTTGGTCTTAAAAGGGTCCGACGTACAAAACGTTAGGAACTTGAAATAATAGTTAATGACGCAGCAATCTAGTTGTGGGGCTCATACTTTAATGTCCGACATCGACTGACTCACACAACTCACTGAGCTTTACTGGTGACTACTACTACTACTTATCTGTGGGAGAGTCTATTTACAATAGAAATAGGTACGTTCCGGTATAACAGTTCTTGAGCTGCAATTTGCATCTGTAAGGACCTTAATCTGGTTCAATGATCAACTAGTGTCTTACCAGACAACCTGTCAAATCCTCCTGTTCAATGCTGACAAAATTTTTTGGGGCCAAACACTTAAAATTCTAATTTCTGTATCCCTCAAAGTTTTTAAGTAATTTGCAACAGCAGTTTTACGACATCCAATATCACTAGCAATGGCTCATTGAGAGAGACCTTGCTATTGCTGCTTGAGAAATTCTACCACGTTCAAACTGTAAACTTTTTAATCTTTTCCATGTTTTTACTTAATGTAACAAAGATGGTCTCATTTACATAGGAAGTTGCAAAGACTATAAATAGCTATGGTTATTACCCATGAGGCAGTTGAGTGCATACTACTTTCTGTGATTCAGTAACACTACACTACAATGGTGTTGCAGATATCTAAAGTACTGAATGAACAATTATGATTTGATAATTATGAATACACACACATGTGGCTTAGGATACTAGCAGCAAAAGCTAAAACAAAAAAGCTAAAGGATTTAAAATCAGTTGGAAGAGAATACCAAATAACTGATCTCTTCTTGGCAACTGCTGGTTGTAAGGACATAAAATCATCAGCAATTGCACATCCAAGACACTTGGAAGAAATGATATTTGACAATATAAGTCAACTAATAATGAAAAACATAGCACCCAAGAAAAAATTATTATTAGTATCAAGAGAATAACCATCCTTTTGACACACTTTTTTTTGTTGGTACCTAGATTAAACATTACCATATTTTCTCTTTTATTAAAATCTCTGTTTCCTTTGATATTTTATGGCATGAAGAAAACTATAGAAATGCTTTTGAATTTTATAAAGGCTGGAAAGTAAAGACTGAACAGTTCCAGTCCAGAGTAATATTTCATTTTTGGTCTAATCTAACTCTTGTAAAGATTATGGCTACATTACACTGGTTCTTATCAGTTCACCAAAGTTAAACAATGTTGAACATGGACAATACATAGATGGGTGTCCGCTTGGGAATAGCAGTTGCTATAAACTTGGATGTGCAGTGTACAGGTAGTATGATGGATGTGCAGTGTACAGGTAGTATGATGGATGTGCAGTGTACAGGTAGTAATGATGGATGATGGTTAGGAATGAGAAATTGATCAGCCAAGTTCAAATTCCAGTTTGGTCCATTACAGTCAGTTATGTGCAAAAACCCCTGGCTGGGTGATCGTGAATCACATCTGTCCCTACCAATGCACACTGGGGCAGTATGGTAAGGTAATGGTGCATTCCTCCATATGAATCTAGGAAAGGCCTACATCCAACAAAATGAAGGCTTATGGCCACATCATCTTGAAACAATGGTTCCCATATGATCGAAGTTAAGCAACATTGAGCCTGGTCAGTACCTAGATAGATGACCCCCTGGAAATACCAGGTGCTGTAAGCTTGGATATGTAAGTAGTATAATAGATAATAGCTTGTAATTGGAAATCAGCTGAGTTTTAATTTCTATTTTGGGTTTGTTATATTCACTTACATGCAAATATCCTTGGGAAAGAGATGAAGCCTACCTCTTCTCCCTCCAGCTATGGGTTAATTAGTAAGACTTGTATCACTAAACCATTATTATCTAAAAAAACAAAAGGGAAATTCTTACAATGTAGGAATATTTTCTGGCTTTATATAACCTGCAATGGGTTGATAAGCTGTAGAAAATGAATCGATCAAACCAAGAAAAATACCTTCAAAAGCTGAGCATAATGATGATGATGATGATGGTTATTATTATCATCATCATTAACTTGTAAAGCATGATAGGAGGATTTAGATACTTTATGGGTTGCTAAAGTTATCTGATCATTATTCCAGCATCTTTTGTTACATATATGAATTCATCTTCAGGTCTGGCTTGTAATGTTGCATCGGTTGGAATGGTGATGTAGTGCCAAATAAATTCAGCTTTTCTCACAGTCAGGATAAAAGAAAAAGCAACAATAAAATGGAAAAAGAAATTAAAAAACCCAAAACAAACTAAAATAATCTGCATTGTAAGTTAGTGTCTTAATCCTATGCTGCACTAAATCCCCAGTCTGGAGACTAATTTGAAAAAAAAAATACTGAAAATTGTCCCCAAATGACCTGTTAAACATAAATCTTTTTCATTGAGGAATCATTTATTTTGCACTTAAATAAAATAACAAAATTTGTCAGATTTTGTAGTTTATTTTTATCTTCTGATTTTATGTTCAGTCTGTCCAAATTTGAAATAGCTAATATCATTCCAGCAGCCATATTGAATATAGATTTACCTTCCATTAAGAGTTTTTGTTTGATAAAAAGTGTAGTGAGAGGATGCTTTTGGTAAGAGAAAAATCTATACACTTGAATAATTTTGTTATTGCTTTGATTTTAAATTATTTTTTTTTCTGTTGCCTAAATATAGAGACTTAAAACAAGTTTGAAATAAACTAAAATTGACCCGTTACACTCCTTTAATCATGTTTCTATCAAATATCTTTTCTGTACTCAAGATGACAATTTTTTTATCCATTTCTTTTTCCTTTTTATATACTCCATTAAAAAGAATAAATTTAAAACACAAAAAAAAATTTTTGTCTGAATTTTTGGGATGAAAAGATATCATTATTGGCACAATTTGCTCTTGCTCTAATATCCTTATCTTTGTTGTTAAAATCGTGTTTCTATTCTTGGATTCAATAAACTACATCTGGTTGCAAGGCCTCTGATCAGGAGATTGGAGGTTTTGAGGAGCATGGAACCACCACCTAATTGTTGTTGCTTCCAGGTTCACCCTAACCCGGGTGGTAGCACTTGTTAAAGTCCCAGCTATGGGTAAATAGTGAACACCCAAACAAAATACTATAAAAGTATAAAAATACATATTTATAGCAAAATGACCAATCATACATTCAATTGCATTCAAAATATATTTAATTCAAGCCATAAAATTGTGTTCAAAATATTAAAATTTCAGCATCAAACAACCCATAGATGTTGATATGCTACTAAAAAACAATCAACCAAACAAACAACATGTAAAAACTCTTTCATGACATTAATCCATATAATATCTTACAATTTCTTTAAGAAATCAAACTGTATTTCAAAATATAACTTAGCCAAAACTACAACATAAACACACACATATCACAGTTTCTAGTAATTATATCCACACAAACATGTATATGGACAAATGCTGAGTATCACCTACCATGTATTCAATTGTGAAAGTAGAATAACATATATTGTTATTACTTCAAATCTACCAAGACAATTAAATTTCAGCATTAAATGACCCATAAGGAGTTGATGTGCTGTTAAACAAATCACTTATAAACAATCATGTTTCATCTGTTATAATCTCTGGCATTTTTTTAGATGTGTATCAACCTGGGTAAGCTTAAGGAAATTTTTAATTTATCCTTTTTATTTACTTGAGGGGAATAGTGTTCTTGTTATGCAGTTCACGTCGACGAACATCTCATCTTATTCTTTTTAGTACTACTCAGAGCCTGAGTCTATACTACCTGGCTCAGAGATTGAACTCATAGTCACTATCTCACCAAATTCATAAGCCAATGCTTTAATCCACTAGGTGGAAAATTCTTATTGCCTGCCTGCTGCTGCCACTGTTAGTTTTCCTGTTCAAAGATATGAATTTACTATACCCTTTGCAAATATTTTTTTTTTTTTTTTTAATTATATATAGATTCATTAAATCTTTTGAATGAATATCTTCATCTTTGTTGTTTGAATGTCACCATTTTAAATGCTGTATGATCCAAATATAATGAGTTGTCTGCTGCAAAAAATAACCTTATGGGAATAGTAAATGAACCTTCCTTTCAATAGTGGACATGGTATCATTTCTCCATCTGTCAAAGCTGATGGTCTCTTTAAAATGTCAGCAAACATGGCTCTCCACATCTTTCTTTTTTTATCTATGCATTGTCGTAACATTTTTAGAAAAATTGTGTAGTGGTTTCTTGTTGCCTTCACCATAGTTTGGGATTAACAATATTCCTTCTTTTAGACTGATTACTATCCAAAGCTAAAGAATCTAGTCTCCCTTGCTATTTAACCAGGGAACAAAATTAATGACGTCCTTAGAGATGATAAAACACTATTTTGGGACAACTGGTTAGGGTTTTTTCTTTCTTTAACAATTCTGGGATGATAGACATTAATGAAAATCCTATTATTTTTTTTCTAATTTCATAAAATTAAAATGTTCTCACTCCTTGCCAAAAGTTTTAGGCTTTTAATAAATTAATCACATGCACAAACAAAAAATACTGTAGTGGTTCTTTTTAAATTGACGAATGAAACATAAATGATGGTTGAAAGATGTAAATTGAAATAATCTGTAAATGTGAAAACATTAGGATTTAATTGTAAGAACTAATTTTGCATTAATAAACAATGTGTGAAATTTTTCTGTCAATTTTTGGTTAAAAATCTTGACTGAATCATTAACAAACAACATTTATGTGTTTTCTGCTTATCATAAATACAAAATACAAGGGAGAATTTTTAAAAAATGATAAACATAGAAAATTTAGTCACAACTTGAGGCAGGCAACTGTAAATAAAAAAAAATTCATAAAGTCCTGAAATACTTTGTGATTAGTTGGAATGTTCTGAAATTCTTTATATAGAAAATTAATTCAAAGAACAGAATTCTTAAAGTTTGCTAAAAGTTATTCTGAGCAGGAATATTAATTAATAAAAACATTTCTATATCAAATTATTCAAGGTGATTTAACCAAAATATTTAAATCAAAATAAAATTGTGATTTTATTGCACATCAAAGTAAGTCAACTAATTTGTTTTCTTTATTCATTTTTAAAATTTTAATATTTTAACTTTTTTAATTATTTACCTAAATATTTTAATTATTGAAATAAAAAACATTTAAAAAATATAGAAAAATTGAAAAAATGTTTTGAACATATGATAAATCCAAAAAACATTTGATTTCAGTATGGTTTAAAATTTTGTGGGGATAGATAAAGTTGTTTTTTAGGGTGATTCTGAGATTTTGATGTCACCAAGTTTTTAACTTGTATCAGGTTAGGGAGTAGAGATGTATTAATATGTTTCCAACAGGCATTTGTGTGATAGTGAATGCAATAAACTAGGCCAGAAATAGATCTTGGTTGTTCTTTTCTAATTAAGATTTCATAAACACATGAGGAAGGCCACAGGCTACAATTGCCAGATGAGCTTCACGGGTGCTTTTTATCCATAAGGCCACATCTTGCAGGATAATTAGGATTTTTTTTTAGCCTAAAAATCTATTTTGTTCTTTTCTAATTAGAAATCCATGTCCCATTGTAAATTCATTTTTTTTTTTTTTTTTTTGTTGGTTTTAAATCTTGCTGCTCTTTTCTAAACTGAAAATTGACCCGCAAACAAATCAATGTATAATAGTAAAAAATCTTTTAATGTAAATACAAGGAAACATTGTTTTATTAATTTTCCAATTCTGCAAATCCTAAACATTAACCTATAAGCTTAGAAATATCCTTATCAGATCAAGACTCTCATCCTAACTATATGTATTTATGCAGATGATGCTACTATTTGCTCCTGTCTCAATAGCAAACCTGGCAGATCTGATAAAGTAAACCTAGCAACTGCTTTTGAAAAGGTTAACTGGGGCAAAAAATGGCTCAAAAAATGTTAATGCCTCCAAAGCAAAACTGCTTACACTTAACCACCATAGATAATCTTTTCTGTCTGCCATCATCATGGTTGACACTAGGCTCCTGGAGAGCAACTCACTGTGCATTCTCAGTTTTCCACTGACTTGAAGTGAAGAGACTACATTGAATCAATAGCTGCATCTACTGCAAGGAAAGTTGGATCACTTTATCATTCCAGAAAATTTTTCTCATCAAAATCCATCTTGCATATTTACAAATCTACCATTTATATGTACATTGAATACTGTTGCCATATCTGGTGTGGTGCTCCTGCTGTACATCTTGTGATTATTGACAAAATTCAAAGAATGATCTGTAATGTAACCAATCCTGACCAATTATTTCAACTTCAGCCACTTTCTCACCAGTGTGATGTGATGTTTCCCCTCTTTATTTACTACAAATATTTTCATGGCAAGCTTTTTTTCCCTTGTGCCCCAACTACATGAATTTAAGTGTGCTACTAGATTGGCAACTAGGTCCCACCTCTTTACTGTTAAAATAGCTAAAAGCTACCACCACGTCTACTCCAATATTTTCTTTTTTTTTGCACTTCCTGCCTGTGTAACTCCCTTCCATTTACTTGTTTCCCTGATAACTACAATTTTCAAAAATTTAAATGCAACATCAATCCTGATCTTCTGTCTTCTTGAACCCTGTTCATCTTTTGCCCTTTCCTCAATCCTCCCTATTCTCATCTTTCTTTTTCATTTTC